TCAACCCACCGGCATTCTTCCAGGAATAAATCAATAACACCCTCGAACCATGTTTGGACATCTTCTGCACAGCCTGCCTGGACGACATCCTTATTTATAGTGATAACCTAACGGAACACAAGGAACACGTCAGAGCAATAATGACAACACTAAGATGCCAGGTTATACCTCAATGTGGAAAAATACTAGTTCCATCGACAAGAGGTGAATATCTGGGACTCATAGTCGGGGTAAACGGAATCAGAATGGATCCGCAAAAGGTGACAGCTGTCAAAGAATGGGAAGCACCTGGAAAACTTAAGGAAGTTCAGGCGTTTTCAGGATTCGTCAACTTCTATTGAAGGTTCATTAGAAATTATAGAAGGGTGGTTCAACTGTTAACAAAACTCACAAAAAAGCTTGAACCGTTCCACTGGGGCTCTGATCAAAAGGGAGCATTCGCCAAGTTGAAGGAAGCATTCACAACAGCACCAGTTTGGCACATTTCAATTACGAAAAGGAGATTGTCTTGGAAAATGATGCATCAAGTTACGTGTCCACTGGACTATTATCACAATACGACAATCAAGGAATCCTTCATCCGGTAGCATTCTTCTGCAACAAACGCACACCTGCGGATGAAAATTACGAAGTTTACAACCAGGATTTGAAAGCCATTATCAAATGTTTAGAGCAATGGAGACCGGAATGTGAAGGGTCAGTATATCCAATCAAAATACTGACAGACCACAAGAACCTCAAATACTTTATGACATTGAAACTGTTCAACATAAAACAACCCAGATGGTCCGAATTGCTGTCAAGATTCAAGTTCAAGATTTTGTACTGCCCAGGGAAACAAGGTGAAAAGCCCGATGCACTCACCAGAATGCCAGGAGACATTCCTCCAAAGGGGGGGGCAGAAAAAACCCAACAAATGATATTAAAGATGGAGAATCTTCACCGAAGAATGCAAAAGGGATTATTGGTGGCGTTTGCGGAAGTAGTCAATCGGAATGAGGAAGAGGTCGGTCAAGAAGAATTGTGGAACTGTATTCAAAACATTTGTAAGGACTGTCCCTTCGACAGCAGTGAAGGATTATGTGTCAACACAACGGAAAACATCAACAATGAAGCACCAGACAAACTCCAACTCATTACAGAACATGACGACACGCCAGCAGCCGGACATCCAGGACGAGCCAAAACCCTCGAATTGCTCAAAAGGAATCATCAATGCCAAGGAATGTGATCAGACGTGGATAGATATGTACGGAACTGCCATATATGCCAACACAGCAAGGCAACTCATCAGAAGACCCATGGATGGCCTAAACCACTGGAAGTACTGCAACAACCATAGAAGGACTTGAGTATGGAGTTCGTGGTAGGGCTACCAGAAAGCGAAGGGTATAACGCCTTTTGGGTAGTAGTTGATAGACTGTCAAAAATGAAGCATCTGGTTCCATGCTGGGACAACACAGACAGGAAGAAACTGGGCGAAATGTTTATACAGGAAGTGTTTAAAATTCATTGTTTACCGGACACTGTAGTATCGGACAGAGGTCCCCAGTTCGCTTCGGAGTTTTGGAGACATGTTTGTGAAAGACTCGAAATCGAACGAAGACAATCAACAGCATCTTAGACACAGACCAATAGCCAAACGGAACGAATGAACACCGTCATGGAAGAGTATCTCAGAGCCTTCATCAAATATTAACAGTACGACTGGACACCATTGGTACCAATGCCGGAGTTCGCCTCAAACAACCACACATTGGAAACCACAGGATGCTTACCCTTTTTCGGCAACTATGGTTTTCATCCAAGAATGACATTCAGCCAATATGCCGCTCAAAATGCCAATGATATCAGGGAACTAAATACGAATACCCTCTCCCAAAAAATGAACTATATTTTCGAACAGATGAAAGCTGAAATGACTCGGGCAAAACAATCCAAGCGGAACAGGCAGACAAACACCGACGAGACAGTATGGAAATGACGGTCGGAATCTGAGTATAGATGGACGACAGGAATATAGCAATACAGTGTCCGAGCAAAAAGTTGAATTGGAAACATTTGGGACCTTACAAGATAATGGAGGTTATTAGCCTGTGGGCCTATCATTTACAGTTACCCCAGAACCTTCACATCCACCAAGTACAACCAATATTCCATTTGAGCAAAGTCTCGGAGGACCCTCTACCAGGGCAAATCGAATCCGCACCACCACCAGTTATCGTGGATGGAGAAGAGGAATGCGAAGTAGAAAGTATCGAAGACTCCAGAATATTCCGATGCCAATTGCAGTACCTGGTTAAGTTGAAAGGCTACGATGAAAAAAATTGGGAACTGGCAGTCAATGTGGTCAGACTTCAAGCCTTCGACATATTCCACACAAAACAAGCTGGCAAGCTTGGATCAACAGCCTCGCAGGAACTGGGCTTGTGGGAGGGGGAACTACTGTCACGGTTGTGTCGAATGAGGATCAAAGGAAGAATATAGATCGATATAGAAGATATGAAAGATACAAGTGGAAACAGGTTTCGTCGGAAGGAATCAGGTTTTGAAAACGGGAAACAGGTTTCGTTGAAAGGAATCAGGTTTTGAGGGTTGAGTTGTACATATGGCGTGATGGCTATGGCGTAGTTTACGGTTTGAAAGGGTTACGTACATTGTTGGGTGAGGTTTGGATGTGTTTTGGAATGAGTGAGCAAAGGTGACGACAGTCACATCAGCTGAATATAAGGACACTGGATTCGCGGAGGATAGGTCTGTTCTTCACTCGTTCTCTAGTCTACAAAATAATCAATAGCTTCGGCACCAACCTCTGTTCACTTCTGTGATTCCGGATTTTGAGTCTCTAGTTTGTTACGCAGTACCCACAATCACTGTATCCCCAGTTTGGTTTATATAACCCCTAGAACCTCGAGCTTTGAAACCTTGACAAATTCATTCTAACTTCTGCTATCTTTTGTATATGACTTTTGTACGATTTCTACTTTTCTATTAATACCAGATTTTTTCTATTTTAAGTCTGATTTTATTTTCATGGTACGTAACCTCCTCTATGTCTGGCAAATAAGTACTCGACCATCTGTGACGGCTGTGTACAGTCAATATCAGTAATCAAATAAGAATCAATAAATAGTAATTACATTGATTTGGAAAGAAAAAAGTTTATGTATCACAAGCATAACAAACAGGTTTTTAAACAAAGAAACAAGTTTTGAGGAAAAGGAAACAGATTATGAATAATTGCCAAAGATAATGAAAAGACCCTGAATGGTAAAATAGTGGTGTGAATACAGTAGATATAGAGAGAAATGTACAAATTTTAGGTAAATTCGAATGTATATTGAATAAATCAGTTAAGATAATGATACTTATGTGTATTGTATAAAAGAAGGATGATATAGTGGAGAATTGGTTTGTTCTTCACTCGTTCTCTAGTCTATAAAACAATCCATAGCTTTAGCCCCAACCTCTATTTAATTCTGTGATTGCAAATTCAAGTCTCTTGTCTTATTTGCAATATCTGCAATTCCAAATCTTAGTTTGGTTTTTATAACCCCAAGAATTCTGAACCTTGAAATCTTGACACTATCGATCTTCACTTAGTATAAATATGATACCAATCATCAAGTGGCCTTGTCCATACAAGAAATCTACTCTTGGAGAGGCAATCCAAAGCATAATAGGAAAGTTGAATATAAAATGAAGTTTAAAGATTATCCAAAGCTTATATAGGAACTAGAGAAGTGCTTCAACGGTGGTGAAAAAGAGATTTTGCCAGAATTCAAGAAACAAGATAGAGATATACAAAAGACACTGAATGGAATTATGATATTGTCAACTGGCAGAAAATACAGTAGGTCAACACACAAACACAAGAAGAGGGTGGTGTATATTATGGAAGTTGATGATGATGCTGTCCTATCTTCAGATAAGGATATTTACCTGTACAGGCAGTCAGATTTAGAGGAGGAGGTGATGTAGGGATACTATAATGTATGTTAGGGCTAGGGCAGTGGGATGCCAAGTCATGTTGGGTAGACCTCCGTAGCTACACCATGGAATAGACGATCATCCTTCGTCATCCCCACAATGTGCATGTTCCTATCTATGACAATCCTTGTTATGACAATCACCACGGTTATTGCAGTTCTACTTCGCCGACGGAGGATTGGAAAACGTATGCCAAGGACGCCGTATACACTTGCTGCCACGATGGCGTATTTGTATGGGGCGAGGTTTTTGGAGGGGTTGGTGGGGTTGTCGAGATTAGGGACGAAGGAGAGGAATAAGCAGGTTTTGATGGCGGGGAGGGATAAGGAGTTTGGGTTTGGGTGGACGGTTGGGGCGGATGGGAAGAAGAGGGTGGGCGTGGATGAGGAGGAGTTGGAGGGGGATTATAAAGTTAGGCAGTTGGCACCGTGGAAACGGTAGGTTAGTTGGGTTCTGTAATTGATGGAGTGAATGCAATATTGATGGAAAAGTGGACTCGCAACGCATAGAGATCTGTACGATTAAATATAAAGATTTTTTCTGGTTCGTTTTGGCGAATGCATAAGTATGGTTGGGATAGAGAGCATGGATGTACTGTATGTATTAATGAAACTTCGGAGTTTTTCATTTAAGAGCATGAGTATTCCAATCAGCCCGGGCAGTCAATGTTGATGTTCGGAATAATTTTTTGAATCAATGCATACACGTGCAATGTCTACGCAGCTACCTCGATTGCCCATGTTCTCCAAAATTGGGTGACATTCCGGGGATCTATTTCAAATCCTTTCACAATGTTGTGCAATCCCTCGACGTCCCGGGATATATATCATTTTTTCCTTCCACAAGGTTTTTCGGGAAACCACACCTCATCTCCACTCCATTCCACCTACTTCCCGCCCCAACGCTACCTCCACCCGAATCATCAATTGGTATTTCAACATATTCCCTTTTGTTTCTTCTTTCTATCAAAACCCCATGGTGACTACCCATCGTCTAATGGCATGAAACAAGGGGCTGTGGCGCAGTGGTAGCGCGTTCGCTTTGCATGCGAAAGGTCTTGGGTTCGATACCCAACTGCTCCAGTAGCAAGTAGTTCTTTTTTTGTGTTTTGTTGGTTTGGGTGGGGGTGGGGGATCAGATAGGTTTTTGGGATTACAGAGGGCGTGAGTGGGTGGAGGAGCGGAGGGGACGGCAAGGTGCGGGGATATGGAGGGTGTTGAGGGATGGTACTGGATGGTACTAAAGCCCGTGAACTGGAGTACAGAGAGAAAATCTGTGGAAGAAAGAAAGGGAGGAGATAACCAAAGCTAGGTATTATTAGTTGCCTAATAGCCGTGCTTTGTGAACACGTTCTACTAGTGGGTAAAAGAGACTGTGTTCCAGTCGATTGATTTTCTCCGGATGCACGTACTTGCATGGCCCTGTTCTCCAGCACCATGATGTATATATAGTCAATTGATTCGGTGCTGGCGGATTGTATTCGTCTGTGATGACTTGGCTTGATGGTCGTGTTCGATGCTCATTTACATCCTGACGAATTTGATTCCTCAACTTCGAGGGGATACAGCCGTGAGTGTGGGTAAGAAAGTTTGGTGAATACTAACAAGTGAACCGAGGCCGGAACGTTCCCGCAGTCTGAAGAAGCGTGGTAAGACTGCAGAACTCCCAGTTTCAGCCGGTGATATCAATGTAACGGTATGTCAAGGTCAGAGATAATTGAATGAGCACAGTCAGCGCACTTGACAGCTACAGAACCTGATATGAAACTATTGAGCACTATGAGTGAGAACCGTGTTAGTCGTGGTGGTCTAACTATCCCCGATCAACCCACTAGCTAGGTAATTGCAATTTAACAAGATATCCGTTTCCAGTACGGCTCCAGTTTGCTTTTATATGGATTTCTTAATGAAAAACGCTTCAAAGGCGATAGAGAGTGAGATGCAATGAGTGGGAGAATTGAGTCGAGTGATAATCGAGATTAGATGAAGTTCATTCGCCTAGGGTCTTACACATCAGGATAAATATGTATTATAAAACTAGAGATATTTTCTATTTTCTAGAGAATTGAAGATACTATGAAGTTTTACAACCACAAATCCTATAGCTTTTTCATTTCCCATTCATCAGACCTCGATATTTGGTGACGCAATGAATTGCGGCTCAAAGGTCCGTTCGTTACCCTACTTGATGATATTCGCTTGCTTAACCTCACCTCATCCCCACTCTTGACAACCTTCATCTTGACGCCATGCTCTTCTTCAGGTTCGATACCCTCACTTTCTATCATTCGCGCTATCATGCGAAGCACGCCAAACCTGTAATCTAACATCTTGGCCTAGTTTCTTCAAGACCCTTGTCGACCACGAAGTACGTACCTCGTCCCATACCCCCCTACGCTCCACGCTCGATGATGAGAATGCACAGTCATCCTTAGACGTAGCTCAAAGGTTTAGCTTTCTGAAGCTGCTCGCTTAAGCTGAGACGATAAGATGCACCTTTTCTCTGAGAGCATAGCTGTGATCTGCCATACCATCCTATCCTCCGGTACTTGCCGCCAACTTATTTGTGTGCGTCGTTGGCTAGAAGAGGGCGATATTGAGAGTGGATACACGATAATGGTAGAAGAGACGCTGATAGGCACCAGGTGACAATAGAGCTCAAGAACGACCTCTGCATTACCGGGACTTTGAAGAGCGTTGATCAATTCCTGAACATCAAGCTAGATGAGATTAGGGTAAAGGATGAGAACAAATATCCCCACCTGGTATATGGAACATCTACCTCACTCCCGAAACGAAGGACTGCAGCTGACATTGACAGGCGGCGGTGAAAAACGTGTTTATCCGCGGTTCGGTCGTTCGATACGTGCATCTTCCAGCGAACGCAGTCGATACAGCGCTACTTGAGGATGCGACACGAAGGGAGGCAGCAAATTCGGGAAACGCTAAAAGATAGACTTTGTTTTCGGGAAGTGAAGTTAATGAATGATATCACGATTATGGTGTTGAGGGAAAAATCGGGCGTTACCTTTTTCTGTTTCTGCCAAACTGGAATCTTAGTGTGATTGGGGCTTTTTTTTTTTTACTGGTGTGGACTACTCAACGGTGGCCAAAATGTATCCTTGAGTCAAGTTTTGATTTTCGAAAGGTGGAGTACTATTAAAATCACAACCAATTAATTGCAGCTTTTGTAAAGCACAACAGATTGCCCTAGCTACCTAAGTAGCCTAGGTTATCAAGCGTACCATGGAATACCGAAGCCAGCCAAAGTTTAATACTCTGTGGATAGCGAACAGTTACCGGGGACGACTGTTCAGTGGAGATCTTGGTGTGAATGGTGTTGCACCGAACGCTCCAGAAAGACCTCCAGTCTGCCAACTTCATTCGACTTCTCTCGTTCCTAGTTTGTCCAGGCATGTGCTCGCAAGTTCATATGCACCTAGCAAAATTATTTGCCATCACTGGGCACTAGAGAATTCTGTGCTTTTTCCACAACCATAGTAAATAACCCCTATACTATATACCAGACGAAATTCGAAAACACCAAAATTCACCCGGCCGGAGTATGGCAAACTTAATTATGTTCTTCGTGTGGCGAACTCGCCAGCCAAAACGATAAAGCCTGGAGAAGAGAGAAGGTGAAAAGTGGGAAAAATCTTTCAATAGGCTTACAGGTTTTGTTAGCCCCTCATTAAGGTAGGTAGTCTACTCGAATAAGTACTGAGAAGGAGGATCGATGGATGTGCTACACTCTACTTAGGCTTGGCGTTTTTTGACTTTTCTCATGATCATCACCAACTATCACTTCCATTTATCTTTTCTTCTCTCCCGACTCTCTCTCTCGTAAGTGGCTCGACGTGCTTTCAATGCTTAGTATTTATTTACTGTCCTTATGTATTTATTTATTTATTCATTATGGCATGCAGTCTGATTGCTCTCGTAAACACTGACTCGCAAGCTCGCTCCGCGCAGGCAAGAGCTTCCTACCAAGTAGCCTGTGGACGATTATTTTTTCGCCGGCGTGTAGCCCAGCACCGCCGTATCTAAAGATGTCTACAGACTACCTACCAAGAAGAAAATCTGCTCCAGCCAAATAGCTATGGCCGAAAGTACTTCCACCGAGTAAACTAGCGACGCCTGGGAAATTAACAAATACATACTTAACTGTACCAAAAGCCTCTGATTGTTGTTGAATGCACAATTATTGCACTAATTATATATATTCTCATGTCGCCTAGCCGCTAGTGATTCAGTTGTGCGGCTCCCGAGTTTACGAGCAATGCGCATATGCTGCATACTGCTTTGGCATCAATAACTGGGATATTGAGATTTTGGCAGCTACTATTCTTCCCTAGGGTCTCAATATTTTGCTTTTTTTGATGTTGCTTTGAGTTTGGGCACGTAGGGGAAGCATGAAGTGTGGGATCATTCTGGCATACGCTTCGGACTGGAAGTATTCATTTCCCAGAGAATCTGGCATACAGGTTTGACTGAAAAGCGACGTCTATTTGGAGGTCCGTATGCCGTTTACTCATGAGAATATTGCGATATTTAAGTATTTATAAGACTATGGCAGAATCGTGGCATTAACGCGTTTCGACCCTCTCCTACCCGATACGATATGCTGCACCGGTGACCTGTGGGCTTTTTCAAGAGGCGGAATTTCTTGTTGTGGGAGAATTTTTCGCTTGTTTTAAGTCACTGGTGGCAAGTTTTTAATTTGAAGAGTTTTATATGCATATGCATGAAGATTATCCATGTTAGATAGTAAAAATACAATATACATAATACATTGCATATGGCAAACTTCATTGAATGACATATATTCCTGAAGTATATTAGATCTACTGAGCTCCAATGATTAAATTATCATCAAGGTCTACACTATTCCCATGCCTGAAAATAATTCAAATTCAGCAACTGATTTTTTTGTATATACTGCACCAAACATTTTACTAAGTCTGGTACTTAAATAGTATATAAAAACAACAGATAGACATTCATCTTGTATTCTATCTGTATTTGATTCTTTATTTAATATTATATTACCTGTCTAATCATCAAAACTCTGTTCTGAAATTATCAGAACTTCATATTTGCATTTGGCCAATGCCATCCCACAGCCTATATAGACCATCATATGATCTTGAATATATTAAAGACATTATACAAATTCTATATCTTGATCAGAATATAACTGCAGTTCTGATAGTTTCAGCTCTAGCAGCAGATTATAATATCACTACCAGCATTCAAGCACTATATAGAACACTCTCAGATTGGCAATTCTTGAAATATAGTGAATTTATTGATACTTTTATACTTAAAGCCAGAATCTTAACTGGATTTTATCAACTTGGACTGGAAGATTAATAGATACTGCTTATTGCAAATAATGAAGGTAGGTGTTGTTGTGTACCTGATATATCTATAAATGATGTTATTTGATTAAATACCAGCTTTCAAAATAATGAAAAAATAATATCCAAAAGCTTTATAGGCAAATGGGAATTATATAGAAAGGACAGGGTTAGGATGCATTACATGAAGCCAACGAAAAGCTATATACTGTCATTACCCTTGAATTGCAAATAGGACTACCTGTTCACTATGGTTAGAAGTATATCTGGAGGTATTTGTCAATTAGTGGAATTCCTGTGGCATGAGATCGAATGTTTGCTATTATCAATAACATGTGTTCAAGGCCTCATAATTGAAGGTTCAGGGCTTAGGGTTCTAGGTGTCAAGGTTTCAAGGCTCGGGGTTCTAGGGGTTATTGAAACCAAACGGGAGGATACAGTGATCGCGGGTACTGCGTAACAAACTAGAGACTCGAAATCCGGAATCACAGAAGTGAATAGAGGTTGGTGCCGAAGCTATTGATTGTTTTGTAGACTAGAGAACGAGTGAAGAACAAACCTATGCTCCGCAAATCCAGCATTCTTATATACAGTTAACGCAACCGTCGTCACCCTTGCGCACTTGTTCCGAAATACATCCTAACTCCACCCAACTATGTACGCAACCCTTTCAGTCCACAGCCTACGTCATCACCATCAACCATATTTACAACGCAACCAACA